TGCGGGACAGTGTCAAACGCCTTGCACAAGTTCAGGTAGATGATGTCTGTCACTCTTCCCCTGTCCACCAATGCTGTGACCCCATCACAGAAGGCCACCAAGTTTGTCAGGCACGATTTGCCCTTAGTGAAGCCGTGTTGGCTGTCCCCAGTCACCTCCTTATTTTCCATGTGCCTGAGCATAGTCTCCAGGAGGGTCTGCTCCATAATCTTGCCAGGCACGGAGGTGAGGCTGACCGGGCTGTAGTTCCCTGGGTCTTCCTTTTTTTCCCTCTTAAAAATGAGGGTTATGTTCTCCCTTTTCTAGTTGGTGGGAACTTCGCCAGACTGCCAGGGCTTCTCAAATATGATGGCGAGTGGCCTGGCCACTTCGTCTGTCAGTTCCCTTAAGACCCGCGGATGCATCTCATCAGGTCCCATGGCCTTGTGCACCTTCAGGTTCCTCAGATATTCTCAAACCTGATCTTCTCCTGCAGTGCGTGGTTCTGCATTCTCCCACTCCCTGCCTTCTGTGTCCTGGGCAGTGTGGCTCAAGCATTTTCCAGTGAAGACTGAGGCAAAGAAGTCATTGAGTACCTCAGCCTTCTCCATATCCTGGGTAACCAGGTCACCCGTTTCATTCCGGAGAGGACCCATATTTTCCCTCGTTCTCCTTTTATTGCTAACATACTTATAGAAGCTTTTCTTGTTGTCCTTAACAACCCTGGCCAGTTGAATTTCTGTCAGGGCTTTGGCTGATGCTATTTGACCCTGCTCATCATCTTGCTACAAACTTGCCCATCTGACTTGGCTGGATTGTGGAAATCAATCACAGAATTGTAGAAATCCTCATGCCTTGTTCTTAGTGGCTATCCATTTAGGGGTAAGATTCAGCAAAGAACTTGAGCATACCTGAAAGCTAGAAGCTGCAATGTCTAAGAGTACCTGGTTCCCAGGGAGAGCTGTAGAATGTCCTTCATACCTGTCAGGATTGAAGTCTATACTCCCAGCTCACGGGACAATCTCGATCCTGTGCTGTTCTGCAAAAAGATATATTGAATCAGAGAAAGGGAGAGTGTGATTTTGAAGCCTAGTGGTTACAGCAGTCATCTGGGAAACGTAGGTTACAATTCCTATAATTCCCATAAATTATCCATACCTTCATTATGCAGAAGATTATGGCTGTTACATGCTGTACTTGAGGCTGCACTTTGTGACTACTCAGGAGCTAAGAAACTGGTAGAGAATGCTTTGTTCCTTCGCATAGTGCAGTTATGTATGAAGAACATCCCAGTCTGTGCTGGCACTTGCACCCAATTCTACACCTGATGTCTTGGTTTTAAACTATTAAATCTTAACTGTTTTGACATGGAAAGAGTACATCTCCCTGCCATAGCAGAAGTCAGCAGAATTGCTCAAGTTAAAACATTCCTTTAGCATATTTGCACTGGTATGGCATCCTTTGCTTTGGAGCTTTCTGTACACCTGATCTGCCTGATTTCCAAAACTTTTGTCAAAATGGTATGATCTTTCATTTATTTTGTTTTGATGGACATGTTTTGGAGTTTTTGTTTGTTTTAATTTGAAGAATATTTTTCCATAACAGTAGTAGGGCCATATATTTCTGAAAATATAAAGAAATAAGAAAAAGCTTGGGCTTGCTGCGTCTAGTAGAAGAGATGCTGTTCAGCAATGACACCTGTTTGCCCTTCTGTTTCTTAGATGGGCAGTGCCATTAATATTGTGGGTTTGTGCTAGTTATATATATATATATTAGTCTTTCTTTGTATGGCTAGTTCCATACAAGAAACTGGGTGACCTACTTTGTTTTACAAAACTCTTGAGAGTAGGACTTGGTCACAAGCACTGCGGATTCATTCCAATGGCATGGGGCAAATTCAGCTTTTCAGTTCCCTGTACTATTGGCCCTGCAGTATGTTTTTAGTTTACTATTTGTTCAGTTCTCTAAACTGTGATGGGGTGAAGTTTGCAATTGGATGGATATAAACTTATGTAGAGTAAATTGGCAACAATTTTTATTTGCTTTTGTAGGAAATTGATTTTTATCTAATGGTGATGTTGCTTGCTTAAAGCAAAACCATGAGTTTTAATTCAGTTCTGCAATTCAACAGCTCCTTCAAGAAAGGAGTGTGCTTTCTTAGCCTTTCTGACTGGGACAAACCACCATCAGAGCACGATGATTTAGAATGTGTCTAAGTGGTATTTCGGAGGCAGATAAGAGCAAGCTCTGCCGTCTTCTGGAGTGTGAGCCAGCTTTGTTAAGCGTGGTGGTGAGCCTCAGCTGGCAGGTCTAGTTGGGTAACTTAGCTTAGTGTTGCACTGATTTAGTTGTGCTAGCTCTGGTTTAGAGGTAACCTGCGTACATAAAGCTCAGCAGTTCACCTCAAAAGTTCACCTAGGCATTGCTGTGGAATGAGGAGAAGAAGAAAGAGGGATGCTTCCGCTTTGAGCTGCTGCAGGAAACCTTCGCCTCCTCTACCTTGGTGTAAGCCTTGCTTTGCCGATCTAGTGGATGGCCCTGGCATACTAGTAGCTGCTTGATTAAAAAATAATATCTTGTTCCTGAACAGATTCTTACATTGCTTTAAGCATCTGCTCCATCCTTTAGTTTCTCACAGGACAAAAACCTTTGGCAGGGTTCCCAATCTGTTGGAAGGAACCGAGGAGCCACAGGGGAGGGCAGGGACAGAAGCTGGAGGGCACCAGCCTAGTGCCATCATGCTCCCTTCCTCAAGAGGTACCAGGGAGGCTGTGGTAGGGCCAGAGGCAGAGCGTTCCTCCTCAATGCATCCATGGTTAGTGTCCCATTCTGTCCCATGAGTCCCTTTTTCAGTTTCATTTTCTATATTCCTTTATTGTAAGGAATAATGTTACGTGTGGATACTAGTCAGTTTGTAAATGAGCATAGAAATCCCTTTTAGGGTTTACGTGCACCTTGAAAAAGGGCTGAGCTGGGTTTATGGATCTCTGTGTTGTGACCTTTGCTCCTGTATTTTTTCATACTGTGTCTTAATTATTAATTTCAGGGTTTATGGTATTGTTACTGCTTTATTAATCATATTGTAATTACACATGAAGGTCATTATCTGGTGACCATTGGGCGGTACTGGAAGGTAGGGACTCCCAGTTGAACTTTGGGCACAGAATCTTCTTGTGACATGACAAGAAAAAAAATTTTCTGAGGAAGTGATCCCTTAAGGCTTACCCTTATAGTTTTCAGAGTGATTGCACAATGAAAAGATCAGGTACTAAGAGCTTGGTTTGTTTACTAATCCTTATTTGTATATTAAAAACTGATAATCCTGTAGATCTATACTACTTTTTAATATACAGCCACCACTGTTGTACGTGTATCAGTGGAAGGCTCACTGGGAACATTGCTGTTGATAGGGAGTAAGCAGGCTCTTATTCTGATTAATTTGGGTTTTTTTTCTTTTTTAAATTTCTCTTTAAACAATATTGTCTACACCTTTGCTAAGCACAGTTTGACCCTGGCTAAAGTACTGGTGACAGCCAGAGGTAGCATTTAGCATGAGGAAACATTAACCCGTTACCATTTTCATTGGGAACAGTAGTGACAAACTTGGCGGGGGGGTGGTGGTGGAGGGAGCAGAGGTCTAATGAAAGCACAGCCATTGGCTCCCTCTTCAACCTGGGGAGGGGGATGATCTTGAATGAGACAAATCCTATTTAAAGAATTGGGTAATTAGTAGTCTTGTCACTCTACAGATTAGCATTTTGAATTGCTTTCAGTAAAAATGCAAACTGCCTTTATTATTTCTGTCTTTCAAGAAGCACATAATTGAAAACTATTTTGTTATTTGAGATGCTTCTTTGAATTGCCTTCAAAAAGGAGATTTTTTTTTTTAATCTGAATGAATGGATTTAATTGTTTGCTGAATGCCAATATGTTAAGATTGGGTTTGTGCCTTGCATAGCCCCACCTTGTCTGAGGATTGAAAAGGTAGAATGGCCTCACTCCACTTTATTTCTTGTACGGGATAGCGAAGCCAAACCTAACCCATCATCTCCACATTGATCTTAAAATAAATATTAATTAGTTTATGAATATTGCATGATGTCTCAGCAATCTTTTCGTGATCTTTTTTTCATTCCTTCAGCTGACTAATATGGGGGTCCCTTTCTGCATTCCGTGTTTTCAAGTGGTATTTGTCCTGTAGTGGGCTGACTGACTTCTGTAATCCAAGAGCCACTAGCTTGTCATCATCAATAAAGTATGCAGCCAAAACTTGGAAGTGGGAATATAACCATTTTTAGATTTTTGAACATGATCTCACCCTAATGTTGTGGTATGGGGTTTTTGGAGTCGTTGCTCTCCACGCCCCCCCCCCCCTTATTTAAATAATTATTTAAATATTTATTTGATCTCTCTCTACTGGGATTCTGAGTTAGAGGGGGACAGTAAAGTAGTTGCAAACACTCTGTCTTGGGTGTTTTTGGAGAGGACGGGGGAAGGTGTGAAAGCATAGAGTATGGTCCTCTTTCTGGTAAGATACTGCCAGTTGGGAAGATTCTGCTCTAGCAGCTGAGGATAAGAGGATCCCAAATAGGGAGGAGGGAGGGAGGAGAATGTGTAAGACCCTTTACTGCAGGTAAGTAGCCAATCTTTAGATATTAACAAAAGCTTGACAGCTGCTTTTTTTTAAAGCAACTCAGAGAATAAAAGCAATTTCAGAAAATTATGAGCACATCACTATTACTTTTAATTGCAAAGTTCAACAAACTTTGTATTTCATTCCATTATTTAGTGTTAATAGTTTAAAAAACCCAACACAACAAAAACCCTTTCTACTTATCTAACATGCTTCATGTTTCTACTTGTTTTATTTCTAGCATATCATCAAGTTTCACCGTGCCTCAAAAGCAAATAAAAAGCCCATGCAGTTGCCAAGATCTATGGTTAAATCCCTCCTCTACCAGATCCTTGATGGAATCCATTACCTCCATGCAAACTGGGTGCTTCACAGAGATCTGGTAAGTGTTGCATGTATTAGGCTTTGATTTGAGGCTTTGGGCAACATGGTCTAGTGGAGGGTGTCCCTGCCTGCAGCAGGGGGTTGAAACTAGATGATCTTTAAGGTCCCTTCCAACCCTAACCATTCTATGATTCTATTACCTGGCTAAGTAAATTCCACATGCCTGTTGTTGTGTAGGAGAAGTCCCTATTAGTAATCTTGCGTATCGATCCGTACAGCTCTTCCTGTTATTGTTGCAGGAGACCAATGGAGACTTTAAACATGAAAACAAACTATGTTTTCACATTGTTTTTATCTGAGTCATCTGAGCTCAGACAATGATGCTATATCCGGTAAAAGGATTGCAGATATCAATATCCGAAAACAATACATGAGCCAGCTGATATATGTTGGTTGAACATTCTTGTAAGTCTGTGCACAACTTTGAAAAGGCATCTCAGTACGAAAGTGATTGATACCCTTGTACATTGTTTGGCTTACGTGCAAGTTACCATAAAAGCTAGTGAAAGAGTAGTTTTTTCATGGAGTATTTCTTTTCCATGTGGTATTTTTTTCTGACCGTGGGAAGAGAACTATGAAAGAGTTGTCATCTTGAAATTTCTCATGACCTGAAGTGGCTCTTTAAGTTGACTGCAGATTACAAGGGCAGCCAGTTGCCTTGTCTTAGTTACCCTTTTCTCCTTAAAGTTTCCCACTACTCCTCATACTTAAGTGAAGAGCTACCAGGGGTTGCAAAAAGAAGAGTACTAATATGGGTATAGCGCTTGCTGCTTCTTGCATTGTAACTAGAATTTGTGGCATGAGGCAAATAACATGATGGTTAATACACCAAATCTGTTCTAATAGTTATGCCATTGTAACATCAGTAGTAGGTATGGTAGGAGATGTAGTCCAATCCAGAAGACACTGCTTTTATTTTGTTATTTTTCATAGTTGCCTTAATCACTAATTAAGTTTTGTGAGAAATGGATTGTTATGGAGTCTTTAATGGTAAATAGGGACTTGGACTAATTTTTGGATGTAGAGAAAATGTTTTCTTAAAATATAGGAATAAACTGAGGCGTGAAAAAGAAGTCACAGGCATCTTCTGAAATATATTTTATTTGATTTTTGTCATAACACCTAAATGGTGGCCAGAAGTTAGGTTTCAGGTTTTGGTATGGATTGGGTTTTTTTAACCTCACTCCTTGGTATTCAATGTCAACTTTTCTGTTAAGTTCCAGATGTTAGTATATTTGGGGGGGTGTGGAGTATGTTTTTTCGCCTTTGGAATAGTAACTATGAGCAAAAGCAGGAAGCAAATACAACCCTGATTTTCATGCTACAATTATTAGTTTCCTAAGGAGACAGCTGTTGCTTTGGCAGAGTGCTGAGCTGTAATTAGATGCAGCTTGAGAAGGAACACCTGAAAAGTCTATATTCAGCTATGTTTAAGGGAAGCGTATGTGTTCATGGAACTATTAAATACATCTCCTCTCAAATGCCATACATGAACTTGAAATCATGGTAGGAAATACAAGATGGTATCTAGGATAATAATAACAAATACCCTGGAGAATTTTTTTGCTGGTGTTGCTATTTCCAGCCTGCAGCACCAGGTGTTTTGTGTGACTAATGCTGCTACTTCACAGGTCTTATCTGTTGTTGATGAGTTGCAGCAAAGCTGGTACCTGATGGCTCTGTCTTTTCTCTTGAAACTTTGGGAGGTGATTTGTTGCTATTACAAAAAAGATGACTATTTTTCATGGCTCTGGAATGACAGTGCTTGACTGATGTTGGCATAATTGAGAAGGGAGAAGAACAGAAATTTGTGACATCTTAATGTGTTTCTGGTATGGGAATAAATTTAGGCTAATGGATTCTGGGGTACCTCAGTGAGAGAAAGGAAACCATTAAAAAAATTGCTTTGGTACTCTGGTGATTTAAAGGTGTATTCAGAATATTTTGCTTTTTAAAAAATTATTACAGATTTCTGAAGAATTCAGGCTTTTCAAATAGTTATTTTGTATCTTGAACACAGTAAGAAAAAACTGATGTTATTCTGGATGTGTCCTGTCTGCTCTTGAAATTAGGACTTAATGTCATTTAGTAATCAATTTAAATTCTCAGTTAACCAAAAATTTTAAATGTCTCTAATTTTTATTCATAGCTGTGATTTTTGCTTCTAAGAATGGTACCTCAGGCACGGTCTTACTGGGATCAGTTTCTTGCATGATATGTGAATACTAATTCTTCAGTGTCATTTTAATATGGGGAGCAGTTTGTCTGGTGTTTTTCTCTTAGCTGTTTTAATTTACATCCGCTGGAAAAATATTTTTCTATTTTATGTAAACCAAATTTTGCGTTGAGACACCTTGTACTTTCCTGGCTTAATATAACTCTGTTCTTACTATTTTTAGCATGCATTTGGATGCAGACCAAAGATGGTAACATCCATAAAAGTCATGTTATGCTTATTTCATTGCCTCTAAAAAAAAATAAATCAGATTCTTCAAGAATATTTATCATAATATTAGTCAAATTCTCCCGAGCCATGGAAATGACCTTTAGAATTGACTTAACGAATGTTACAATGAAAAAACAGAAACATGGGAGGTTAGTTATTTGCGAGAGTACTTGCGTGGAGGTATGCAAAGAACATTGTTTAAATCTTAATTTGGTACTGCCTTACATCAAAGAGTTTTTAAAGAAGTTAGAATACTGTACGTGCTTTTTAAAAAACTCTGGTTCTCAATAGATCCATATTTTTAGATACCTTAAAATTGTTACTCTTAGGTTATTTTTTAAGATCAGCAGTAGCCAGCAAAAGCATGACAGAGTAAGAAAACCGGTGAGCAATGTGAACTTGCAGACTCGCAATACACGTCCTGTCCTTGGGCTGACCTGAAGGATAGTTTCTACCACAAGGAGACAGTCTCGTTCCCCTCCGCTACCACTAGGCATTGCCACCCATTTTAATGGCCTGGCAGGTGATGCTCACCTGAGTCACAGTGAGCTCATTCAGGGACTTAAACCTGCAGGAAATATTCACTCTTCTCCTGCAGAGCTTGTTTTCTGCTGGATTAGCTCCCTGAGGGATCTCACTGGGAGCCTATGGGTGTGCAGGAGCTGGCGCAGAAGTATGAGGCTGGAGGTGGTGGCAGAAAGCTCAACAGATCATTCTAGCATCATCTGCCATTAGAGCAGATCATTTTGTTGTTTAAATGCACCTTTGTAATTCTTAGATGAAAGCGCAAGTGTTTTTAAAAGATTAAATTCAACTGTGGTTCTAAAGTAGTATAACTTTCATGTTTACCGTGAATCTCTTCTGATGTAAGACTTACGTCAGCTTAAACTCTTGCAACACGAGTTCAAATTTAGCAAAGTGCCCAAACTGAGGCAAATTACAACACCAAATATGCTCACACTCATACTTCTAGAAAGTAGTATTCTAGAAAATAATTTTTTTTTGTAGTGTGTATCTTAATTTCTTTTAATATTGTGGTTATTTTGTTTCTGGCTTTCTTATCCTGAAGGTGGCTGAAAGATGCTAAGTGGCTTTTTTAGGTATAGGTTGGGTTTTTTGACTAAGATGTTAATTTCTGCCAGTTAAAAAATATTCAGCAGTAACTTTCTTTATGGCAAGATTCAAACTGGTACAGAATATGGGACAGGAGCATTAGAGTTTTGATTTCTTTGAATAGCGTTGTATCAGCTTTTATATCTTGGAGTTGATTTAAATCTATAAAAATCCATACATCTGTTCTCCTATCAAGCCATTCGGAGTGGGATTTTGTTGTTGGATTGCATGTTGTTGGGCAACGATAATTTTACTTTTTCAACATAGCAGCATTCCTGAAAGCCACACATGAGAGGAGGGAGGCTTTGCTGGTTCTGCTAGCTGCTGGGGCATTTCATTGTGAACAAGAGGTTAATATAGATAGATATTAAAGATCCTTTTGGTACTACACTTTTATTTTTTAAAGTGCTCTGTATACGCTGTGGACTGTCCACTTGAATGAGATCTAAAATTGTGCTCTGTACCTTAAGTCAATAATAAGTTAGAAGATGCATCATGGAGAGTACGGTATTTCGGGATGTTATGATATCTTTGTCCCCTCCTCCCCAAACGTGAATTCTTTAGACTCTACAGGACTGTTCAGCAAAGGCCTTACTTTGCAGAGACAGCTGAAAATGGAGATCTTCCATACACTGTTCACAGTGAGCATTCATGGATTTTGGCACTTTTTCTTGTGCTAATAACCCTTCTGTAGTTGATGCTAGTTGCTTAAGGACAAAAGCAGGCAGAGACCATTTCCTTTAGAACTTGATAAAAGCAGTTTCTATTTGTAATAGGATGCATTTTCCTGGAGGCAGGTATTATCTATGTGATGTTTTAAGTGCACAGAAACCATATTGAGGAATTCATTTAAGATTCCACTTACGTCCTTGAGCATTTCTTTAGAATACTGCTTAATGTTATTAAAACTACTGGTTAAAAAAACAATGTTGGAAATCGAACTCACCAAAGAAATGTGGATTATTTCCCCCCTTCCTCCCTTCTCCCTAAGATTGTCTTAAGTGGTTGCTTTCAGCATTCTGAAATCAGAAACTTGCTCATTGCAATAGTCATATAAACTAAGAACATGGCTCATTTTACAAAGTTAAAGTGTTTTTATGATAACTCGTCTGAAGAATTTCTCAGTTTTTCTTGTATTGTCCCTTTACAGCTCTAGAATGTTTCAGTTGGTGTGTGTTATTTTACAAATTAAAGAGATTAGCTTATAGCAAAATTCTTTTAGATGGAACAACAATGAAAATATTCCATGTTTGACACACTTTTGAACTCACAATTTTGATTTACATAGAGAGGGGCGGAGTTAACATGTTCTGATGGAACAAAATGTGTCCATGAGTCTTAAGTTGCAGAGATTGAGAAGAAAAAAAATATTTCCTGTTCACTCTAATTGATCTGTGTTGTCCTGTTTAGAAAACGATTTAGGTGTCTCAAGTGTGAGA